ACGGCAAAACAAAGAAATTACAAAAAATAATGCAACTGGTCAATTACCTCAGCTAGAAGGGAAGTGATGTGGTCGAGGTTCACTTGGTGCACAACCGGCACCGCCTCCTTCTCGGATCGGGTAAGGGTCCGGATCATCCTCTTGACATATTGCTGGTAGTTAGGCCAGCTAGAGGAAGCATCTGCAATCAAAGATTGATTTGTCAGGTGTTGGGCATACACTGCGCCAATATTCAGACGGCTGCCAGAAAAATCCCCGGATTGGCAAGCTTGGGTCTTGACCCTCATAGGCCCAAGAAGCCAGGGGGGATCAAAGGCGAAAGTCGTACCTTTATCGGACTGTGGGGTAAGATCACCCCCAGCCGCATTAGAGCCAGTGCCCGTCTAGGTCTGGCCAGCCGGTGTCTCCGGCTCCTTTGATTCCTCGACCACCATTTCAGAGGTCGGGACAATGCCTCGCAGGCTCTTGCCTACAGAAGTAGGCCTGTCTCCCGCAGGCGGTTTAGCAGGGGCACCAGCAGCCGGTGCAAGAGTCGACATTCTTGGCACCTTTGCAGCCGTTCTTTTCACCGTCTTGTTCCCTGCCTGAAAATGTACAAAAAACAGCCGATTAGTGGCCAATTTACATACAAGTGATACAGCCGGCAAAAAGGGTTTGAGAAATGTGTTACCTCGCCATCCTTAGCTGCCAGTTGCGACTTCTTCTTTTCAATTTGCTCCTTCCGGAGCTGAGCGGCTGATGTAGCCGGAGTTTTCTCTTTGGGTAGCTTCTCCATAGCTACTTCTGCAAAAACAAAAGAAGTTGGTTTAAATACAGTATAAGTTAGCCATATCAGGCGGCAGAGGCCGGTTAATTAAAAAAACCTACTCTTAGTGAACATGGTGCTAAGGTTACAGGCGGAAAGAAACGCCTCATCCTTGAACCAGTCCGGGTGGGGCACCCAGAACTGGGGAACTATAATCTCACTCCCATCATCCAGGCGGAGGGTCGTCTTTTTAAAGAGACCCCTCTCCATGATCTGATCCCATGCCTCACTCGGCACTCTTGGGAGAGCACACTTCTTCCTGAGCAAAGCCGGGTTCTTATTATATCTACGCAGCCGGCGGTTTAGTTGGGGAGTTGGTAAAGAAACGGCGTAAAATTAGCTCTTCCAACTGCTCTATTTGGACGGTTTTTCCAAAGTCATCATGTATTCCGGGTGCGTGGTTAGAGTATACCACGCATTCCATCCACCCGGCGCTCGGCTGAGATAGTGCATATGTGCGAAAGCTTCCCAGCTGGGCTTAACCTCCTGCATCTTGCAGGCGGCAATGTATCCAAGAATGTTGACCCATGAGTTGGGGGTCAACTGCCAAACACCCAGATCATACCCCCGTAAAATAGCTTTTATGCAATGGTGAAGGGGGAACCGGAGGCCGGCTTTGATTGTCGCCTCATAGCAGCCGAAGTAGTTGTCGGCATGCTCAATGTCGTCTTCCCAGACAACAGTTGCCTCTACAGGCGGTACTACTATTTCCCATCCTTCCCCAACCGGCTTCTTCTCCAAAAAAGCAGGGAATGTGGCATTTAAAGTGACCACATCCCTAGCGGTCATGCTGAACTCGGTTGGGTTGCTTGCAGGCGGCCACTTATAGGCTTCCTCATCAATGGGAGTGGCTGCCTCTGAAGACTCAGAGCTGGACTCTTCGCCGGATTCCTCGTCGGCAAGTCAAAATCATAAAGGATGCTGTCATCCGGGGTACTAGGGGCACCCGGCGCATCATGAGATGTCCTATCAGGCAGCACTTCGGCCTGGTCTTCGTTTAAGGGTACAGCCGGGTCGGCGGCTGCGTCATTAGACTTATAGTCGGGATCTGTTGCCGTCCATCTGGTCCGAGCCATTATGTCCTGCACATGAACAAAGACGCGTCAGATTCGAGGTAGATGAAGGGTGATCCAAATACCCCCAGACGGCATCCCCAGTCCTAAACTCAGCCGTCTCAGGTGACCGGCTGACCACAGTCGTAGGCTGTGCCGTGTGTGTTTTGAAAGACCCCATTTACTCTATTAAAACTGCATAACCGGGAAATGGGAAGTTTAAAGAACAGAAAAAATGAAAGTTGTACCTTTTAGTTGATGAAGACAACCGTAATTGAAAAGAGTGGCTTGAAGATGCCTCAAACGGTAGAACCCGGATGTGTTTAAAGTTGAAAAAACAAGATAAAAATCAGCCGGTTTTCTATAAACTCACTCAAAAAATACCACCGACGGAATTAACCGCCTGTGTTTGTTTAGAAAGATAAGATGCAAATTTGTGAAGTCCACTCCAAGATACCCAGACGGTATCTAGTGGATGGGTTCAGAAGTACCCCAGGCGGTCTAGAACCGGAGGAGATTCTACGAAAAGAAAAATAGTAAACTGCTCAAATACCCTAGGCGGTCTACACCCGGCTGTGTATCTATTCAAAGGGCAGTTATAAATTGTTCAGAGGTATCCCATACGGTGCAAAACCGGATGGGGGTCTATGGAAAGGAAGTTTAAATTGTCTAGTTATACCCCAGGCGGTGCATAACCGGCTAAGGGTAAAGTAGGCAATTGAGATGCAAGATTATTCAGGCGAAATTTCCCCGGCTTAGGGTATAGTGAATCACTTGGAAAATAAGCTGAAGGGACCCCAGCCGGTACCTTACCAGTTGGTTTTGTTTTTGAAAAGCATTGCTATAAAGTGCCCAAGGTGGTGTTTATCCGGTTGTTGTTTACAAAGCATAAAAGAGAAAGAAAGGTCATCCAGTACTTTGGTAAGATAATCCAGGAGATGCCCAGCCGATAGCCGGATGCGAATGATTTTCAGTAGCCGGATGTAGAGAATTTCTTGGAAATAAGAGTCAGCCGGGATCAGAGCTCTCAAGAATTTTTTTGAAAAATTATGTAAAGTGTTGAAGAAAGAGGGTTTGTTCCCTATTTATAGGAAAATAGCATAAGGTGAATAGACGCCTTCTGCCCTAGAATTCAAAATTCAAAAAAAAAAAAAAAAAAAAAAAAAAGAGCAGGAAAGTAGACCAACCGTCACTTACCCAAGCGTCTGACGCCTGTCACAGGTGATACGTGGCAATGTCACGTCCCACCTGTGAGGGGCAGATGTTTAGGGTAAAAATTACCCTAGACACGTGGCCCAATAGGCCCCTGACACGTGTCATCCCCTAAGTGGTCAACAAAGGCTTCAATCCCTTTGCGACACGTGTCCATTGAACCCTAAAACTGGGAAATAAAGTTCCCCACTATAAATAGTGGAGGAGACCACATTTATTGCATATACACAAATCGAAACACAAACCCCGAGCAATAGATAATTGCATAATTCTCCCAATCAGCGAGAAGTATTTACTGTTCCGCACTTATTACATTAGACGGATTCAACTTAATCGTCGGGGCGGAACTCCACCCTCCAACCGGAGTCTCCGTGATTTTGCAGGTATAGACGTCGGACTGCGCATACTAGGAATTGTAACTCTCCTGCAGGACGCATAAAAAAACCCCGAAACAAATGTACTTAATATTTTTATCGAATAAATGATAAATGATTAGCGAATATCTTTATTTTTTTTTTTTTGCGAGATAAATTGAGAGAATATAGTTTTTTAGTTTTAATTTTTTTTTTTATATATACTCCAAAATAGAGCTTTATTTTTATTTTTTAATAATTGAGCAATTTTTTTTTTATATAAGTTTATATTTAATGTATATATTATTATATAACTTTATATTACATTACTATCTTTATCTAATCCAAAATTAAACATTTTATTGTTTAGTTGAAAACATGATTTTAATTTTTTAATTTTTAAATTGCAAATCTCTTTTTTATATAGATTTAATTTTAAGACAATCGTATATTTTATTTCTATCACTTTTAATATTTTATTTTCTATTTTCCTTTTTTAATGGAATTTTAATTAAAACGTAAGTTACGTGTAATATTTTCAGTTTTTTTTTTATATAGATAGATAAAACTCATATGATTATTGTATGGTTATTGATAAATTTGTTTAAATTTTAATGTTATTTTTTTTATAGTAATAAACATATATTTTCGTTAAGTGAAAGTTATTTTTTTCACAATCTATAATTAATACTAGAGTAATTACTGCTGACATCACCACTGTCATGTGTCAACTTCTTATTAAAAAAATTCCCTCCAAAATTATAAATGACATCATCCTTTTTTTTTTCCTTCTCCATTTCAAGATAAAGCTAATGTTTGAAAAGGGTAGATTAATTTTCCTAAAAGCTTTTATGACTAAATTTACTACCTGCAAAATTCTCTTTCGTTTTCCTTCTTTTCTTCGTATACTACATTTTTTTCCCCGCTAGAGTTTATCAGTGATGGCATGAGTTTAAATTTTCTACTCTTAATAAATTCTTCAAAAATTTTATAATTGAACTAAAAACAACTAAACTGATATAATGCCAACATTTCATAAATTTTATTTAATTATGAAGTTAATTAAAATATTTAACATCTTTTTTTTATTTAGCTCAATTTAGCTAATAAGAGTGATCATTATTTATTATATTTTTTCTTAAATTATTTATATTGCACACATACAATAATTACAAAGATAAATTAGTAACTATATATATATACTTAATAATGGCTTTGTCCAATATTAATTTTAATTGATATTTTGTTGGCCTGTTCATTACCGACCTGCTATTGACCTGCGATCCGCATTGGCACACCCGCTATTTAACCTATAAAATGTGGCCCTTTTTTATTTGTCCCGCAATAGACCCGTACGACCCGCCCCGCCCAATAACTAGGTCTAGTTGCTACTCATCGCGATATCAGATGCAGCCTTAGCGCTTTCATGTCATTAGTATACATGGTGGGTAAGTAGGCTTACTATATTACGGGGTTCATAATATGTAAACCTATTTACATTACCTTCAAAACATAAATCAAATATCTTCCAATATTATATCTAGAGCTTGGCAATCCTAGAGCTAGAGGTAACTTTAATTTTGAAATTTAGTTGAATAGCATAGAGGGTGAACTCAACCATCAGCTCAAGAACGAGCATGTATTAAGCACATAGTAATGGAATAACTGGAATTAAGTGTCCGCTGAACTATACAAACACTCTGTAAAAGCATTTGTCTTGCTAGAGATTTTTCCTTCCAACCACATACACGATTACATTGCCACAATCTACCAAAAACATCAAAGAGATTCTAAAAGAAGATATTTTAAACACAGTACAACAGTTTTCGTTTTAGATGCATCTTATTTTTGACCCTTCTTCCATAACACCCCAATCTTCTTCAACATGTTACCATTTTTCTTTTTGGGTGAGTCGTCATCCATGTCATCTGAAAGAGGAGAGTCCATCTTTGCAGCAAGAGTATTATAGCCACTATCAAGAGAAATTGTGCGGTCCACAAACTTTCCATTGCTCCCAGCTGAAAGCATATTAGCAGCTGCTTCAGCTGCCTTCCTCCATTGGTCTGACTGAACTTTCAATCTCCTTAGCTCGGCTTCCAATCCTGCGTTTGCAGTCTGCGCTGCATCTAGCTGTTCAGCAACTCTTGTAGCTCTCTGACTACTTTTATCTGCCTCCTCAGTTACGCACCCAAGTTTCACCAACGCATCTCTTTCAGCAGCCTTTGCTGCTTCTGCTAATGCAGCTGCTTCATTGTTTTTTTGGCTGCTCTCCTCTCTTTTCTGTATCTCTGCTTTTAGCATCTCATTCTCCACTGTGGTATGCTGAAATTGAGTCTCCTTGTCCAACAAAGCTTCCTTAAGATCCTGGAGTTCTGTGTTCAACTTCTTCAGTTCCACCTCAAGTTCAGACTTCTTGGGACTCGTCTCATATTCCTCAATTTTGATGCTTAGTTCTTTGTTATTTTCTGATATATCTTTTATTATTGTTTTTTTAGTCATCGTCTCTGATTTCAGCTCTTCAATGGCACCTTTTGCTTTCTTTAACTCTTCCTCCAATTCAGCCACCTTAGCACAAGAGTCTGCCTTTGCCCGCTCCACTTGATCATACGCATTTCTAATTTGTAATGTGCTTTGGATATACTCTTCCTCGTATCTAAGTTCAGAAGCTTCTAATGCAGACTTTAATTGATCAATCTCTAGTTTTAATGAGTTGATTTCAGCTTCGAGCTCACCGGATTCACCTTTCTTGTCTTCACCATCCTCCTTGGGCATGATCTCTTCTGATGAATTTTGGCTTTTAGTTTCCAAATCTTCCTTGAGCTTCCTCACCATGTTTTCTAGTAAAGTGACTTCACCTTTTGACTGTTCTAATTCTGACATCAAACTATTGTAAGCCTCCTTAGCCTTGAGGCCCTCAGATCGTAGACTCTCTGCACTTTTCATGGTTTCCTCTAATTGCATCTGGGCCTCTCTAGCCACTTGCAATGCGTGAGCTTCAGATCCTTTGCAGTCATTAAGCTGCTTTCTCATACTCTCAACCAGCGAAAAAGTTTCAGAAAGCTCCACCCTTAAATTTTCTATCTCAGAATGTGCTGTTTCTGCATGCATACTCTGTGTAGCTTCAGACTCAGCCACCTTTTCAAGCTGTCTTTTAAGTTTCTGGATCTCATTTAGGGCAGAGGCCAATGCAGCAGAATCCATAGAGTGCTGCTTTTGGATAGCCTCAAGCTCAGATTGCCAAACTCGATCACGTTCTTGAGACAGTTTGCGGAGTTCTTGAACCCGAGAATCCTCACAAGTAGAAAGCTCCATCAGCTGCTGCTGAGACTCTTCAAGTCTTGCCGACATGACTAAGAGCTGTTTCTTTGTTTCTTCAGACTCTTGTTGGGTACGCTGCTTTAGTGTTTCAGATAAGATCAGCTGGTCCTTTGCCTTCTTAAACTCAGCTTCAAGTTGAGAGAGCTGATATTCTAGCTCCGACAATTTGCTGGGGGTATGCTTCTGGATAAAAAAACATACCAAATGATAACTTTGTCAATAATAGTTACTTGGTATAATACTACTAAGCTAAAAATATATTAGATGGGGAGGAGGAATCCTGTTTGAGCGTCCGCCCATCATTAGTTCTTTCTTTCCAAATTACTTATCCCCATCCGCCAGTTCAGATGGATATTATTTTACATTGAACATTTTTATTACGGAAAGTTATGCAACTGCCTTAAACATTACAAATAGTAGGCAGTCAAAGAAAACATAATCGATCAATTTAAGAAAGAATTAAACAGCATTATCTGCTTGGTGGGTTTCAAAAACCGAAGTTTTTCCATGTAATGGTTGTATTGATACAACTAAAATCCTATATCATATTCATATATTAACAGAAGCTTGCAAAAACATGTAATGTTTCTTGATTAACATAAGATGAGTTTATTCCTAAGGTGCAGCTAATTGAATGCTTAATAAATTGTAGAGCATTAGAGTCTAATCCAGTTGATCAGACTCATTTGCATAATGGATAGACTACCTCATTCATTGGGCTTCGTGGTGATCCACGTTCCAAGACTTTAGGACTCCTTTTTTTAGGTGTCTTACTCAAAGAATTTGGAGAAGCAATTGATCCAGAACCTGATCCTGCCACCTTGAGTGGCCGAGCAATCCGATTTGTTGTGGGAGATGACTTCTGGGAAGATTTTGTGGAAGGAGGTGTCCTCTGAGGCATTTCTGATGAGCCATTCCTACTGCCCATGACAAAAAATAAAAAAATAAAAAATAATAAAATAATAATAATAAATTAATTAATTAATAAATTAAAAAAAAAAAATCAGTAATTAATAGAAGTACAAGCCAGCGGATGAATTCCCGCCTTCCCGGTGGTGAAAGGAATTACTTTGCTATTTTACTCTTTTTTAACGCTGGTTTATAAGGCCAGTAAATTCAAACAACAAGACAAGACAAGTTTACAAGCCAACAATTTTCCCTGCCAAAACCAAAACTCATTCATAGTATCTGTTGTATCCATATGACAGTGGATATTTTCTTTAGTCGTGAGCAGTGGAAGTGTCATACAAGCATCTTTTCTTGTCAAAGATCTCCCTATTCTTTTATCCAATATACAGCTTGCACCCCCCCCCCCCCCAATACACACACGCGCGCACACACACACAAGGTAATCAAAAACTGAAGTTAAAAGAGCCACTATTGCATGTCCATTAAGAATTAAGCAAAATAAAAAAAAAAATTCTCTGTATATCAATGTAGTTGAATGATGTTCAATTCAAACAAGCAGTTTGAAAATGAACCGATACTCCCTTCTCCACACCTACACCCAAAAACAAAATTCCTTCTTGCTGCTTAGCTCGATTAAAATGAAGACGAGCTTCATTAGTAGAAAGTTTTATTATACAAAAAAATATTATATAATCCATATTATAACCACAGACCATTGGTGTCTTTTTTTTTTTCCCCCTTTGTCTCCTTTCCTAATTCCTAGGCCAAGGAATGTGGGTAACAAAATCATAGCAGGTAAAACATGCCAGATGTGCCCTACAAGCAAACATTGTCAACAATTTAATTACGAGTGCACACCCTGCACTTGAGGACAGTACTCACTTGGTCACTAACACAAAATAAAGCAGACATCTTATGATCTACATTAAACTGATATCTTAAGCCAACAAATTAAATACTTGACATAAAGACATTGAACATACATATTACCGCTTCAAGCACATAGCCGTGACTCATGAGCAGTGAATATGATAAACAGCAAGGTCAGGGCCGGGAAACAACTTAGAAATGAGTTGAATTTAGGAAAGCAAAGATAGTTGTAAGTCTCCCTTAGGAGTTAAACACAAAGCAGACATTACCTCTCTTTTGGAGTCTGCATATTTCACCCGCTATTATAAGTAACAAACAAGAAACAGCAATGGTCAAATTAGCCTTCTCCCTGACCCACCAGCACGCATATACACACAGCAATGTCAGAAGACCTCTCTGAAACAATACATGTGCAGAAAAGAAATGAAATGCTGATCAGAGAGATACCCAGCACTTAATGAGTAGTATTTTGCATAATACAAATCAAAGCAAAACTAACAACAACAAACAATACAAACAATCCCTTCAAAGGAACTCCATCAAAATTAAACAACTGCCACTCGTACCAACCAATACCCACAACAGAAAACATATTAGGAAAGCAAAAAAAAGATCAGTTGCTATCTCAGATAAAAGGGAAACACAACACTATTACAAAACTAAACAAAAGCAACCCCCACAAACCACATTTTTACGTTTCTTTTTCTTTTCCTCCTTTTCACTCCAGACCATAAACTGTTTTTATTCTTTTTCTTTTCTTTTCTTCTTTTAAATAATAATAATAGTAAAGCTAGATTTGTATACACGTGTAAAAAGAGCCACAAAGGATAGTGATAAAAACGGGATTCAATACCAGGTCCCGCTAAGACTTTACCAACTTAGCTAGCTCGCATCCACCAAATTAAAGTTAATGTGCAAGAACAAAGATTTGGTCTTATAGAACATTATTAAAAGCAGGCATATGTAACTAGGAAGCAATGACACAACAGCAACAATAAATAATTAATCTTCGGTATATCTATTTATTTCTTATTTTTAAATAACTTCCACTTCCAGAATAAGAAACCAAATCTCTTCTACACTACGCAATGCATTTGCATTTGGAACCCCTCTTATATATATATAATTTGCTAGTTTTATTTTCTGGGTCACTCCTATTACTCCCCTCTAATTCTCTGATTCCTCAAAAAAAAAAAAAAAAAAAAAATAAATAAATAAAATAAAAAACACCATAATGAGCACAAAAGTTGAGCTTAGATCTAAGACTAATAATAAAATGTAAAATACATCAATTAATTAACATTAAATACAGGGGAAGAAAAACAATGGAACATTTTAACTTAAAACAAATAGATAAAAAAAATAAAACATAATATATCTGGTATATTCATTACTATAATCCCAACAACCAAACAAGTAAAAATGTGGGTATTTAAGCAAACTTTCTCAATTTGTTTTGAGATCAAATCCCGTCTACATCACTAATTAAGCTATCTTGTGCCAATTAATGGGGATTAGACAGAAACGTACCTGAAATAAGAAGGGTGATAGAACAATGGAGAAGGCAACTAACAATTTTAGTATTTTACTGATTGTTTTTGGAAAATTCTAAGAAAATGAGGGAGCTAGAAAACAAAACCCTACTGCTTAAGGAAAAAAAAATGAAGGAAAACGGTTAAGTTTCTAAATTAGCATTGGGGAATTGATTCTGTTTTGGGGGGCGAGTTGTTTGAGTATTGTAGTAACCAAAGTTGAGCAGGTTGTTTCTTTTCTTTGTTTTTCTTTCCTCTTCACTGTAACAGTCAGTGCTGACTGTCGAATGTCGAGCGTAAGAGAAAGAGGAAAAAAAAGGGCGGGGGCATTGGCCCAACATTTCGATTTACGTAGTAATTCTTTTAGATTTGGCTAATAAGCGTTTTAGGGCGTTAGATAACTAATTAATATATTTTACATATATAATATTAAGTTTGGAATACATGATAAAATCACGTGTCAGCCGATGTAATTAATGTTAATTTTGCCTTAATATTTCCATATTTAGTTCTTTTATCTATAGTTTTTGCTTATTTTTCTTAATTTTATTACTCCCTTCGCAGGTAGCATTGTGCCTAAATGCATAATAAGATACTACTTTCATTTCTTATTTTGTGCAACTTTTTCCAAAAACGAATAGTTCGAGTTATTGACATCAAAATTAAAAGTTTTCTAAAAAGAAGTTGGAAAATTGATATAAATAATCCCACATTTTAGTGGTTTGCTTATATTAAGTCTCATCTTTTAATTAACTCAATATAATACAAACTTTTAAGCCCATCATTTTTAATCGGACCCTCCTCAATTATAACCTTATATACCCGGCTATTTGGTGTTATACCAAAACTTTTAGCTAATTTCATCATCCAATCAGTACACTAAACCCAATCCAAAAAAAAAAAAAAAAAAAATTAAATTTTATACAATCAAGAATCTAATCGGGTTTAGTAATAGTTGAATAAATTAAAATCAACTACATTTACAATTAAATTTTATAAAATCAACTACATTTACAATTAGGAAAAATACACTTTAATAATCCCAACTTTTGATTATTCTACAATAATCTTAACTTTTACTTGCATTTTTTTTTTCAATCCCGTTTACCGGTTACCTAAAGAAATTGCTCAAAAAAAAAAATAAAGGTTATTTTTTTTTATTTATTTGCCACGTGTTGCATGTCAATTAGCTAAATATTTTTTTAAATTAAATTAAATATCCAAAAAAAAAAAGAAAAAAGAAAACAAAAAACAACTACCCAGCCATTAACGCTGCAGCCATAGTCAGCCATTAACGCTGAACCACTCCCTTCCCGGCTTCCCCAGCCGACAATCCCCCTCCCTGAATCACCGTCTTCGATCCAACCCCACAAATCCGACCTCTTTCCCTTCCCCCACACCGGAAACATTATACTATTCCCCTCACCCCATTTTTATTTCCGTTTTCTAGCGAATGGAGGTTTGGGTTTTGGGTGCTTTCGGCGGTGGGGGGGAAGGAGGCGAGGTGGTTTCGGTAGCTAGGGTGTGTGATAAGGACGATTTTGGTGGCGGGGGTTTTGGTTGATGGTGGGTACGCGTGGCGTTTTAGGGGACGGGGGTTTGATTTTGGTTTGTTTCGGGGGTGGGCGGTTTTGTCAGTGGGGCAGTGAAGGAGGGATTATTTCGGTGATGTAGCAGGGGAGGCGGTGGTTCTGGCTGTGGGGTTGGGGAGGGAGCTTGCCACCACGGTGGTTGTGGGCTTGGTTTGAATTTTGGTTTTTTGGTTTTGGTTTTTTTTTTTTTTTAAATTTTTAGACCAATCCTACTTAGACACATGTCAAGTGACTTGGAATAAGTTAGAATAAGAGGTCATTGATTTTTGTTGACCGATTTGTGATTAAAGAAAGAAAAAGAAGGTAAAAGTTGGGATTATTGCAGAATAATCAAAAGTTAGAATTATTTAAAATAAATCGGGCAAAGTTGGGATTATTAAAGTGTATCTTTCCTTACAACTAATCCCAACAAAGTACAACAAGATACGCATATTATTTCATAAATTTCTTTAAAGGACCAAGCTTCCCTCAATTGTACTCCGCATATGGAAACACTACCGAATTAAGGGGTTTAAGAGACATAAATGGAGTTTTTTTTCCTAGACACCTCCAACTGTCCAAACGAGAAAGTGACGCTTCAAGGGATTATCGCATGATGCTTCAAGGGATTACCGTACATACTTCAGTAATGACGGTTGACTTCAAGAAGTAGCAGGGGTAGTTATGAAGAATTAGTATTCATTTAATAGCCACGTCACCAAATAACCGGGTATCGTTGGTTATATTGAGGAGGGTCCAATTAAAAATGATGGGTCTTTAAGTTTGTATTATATTGGGTTAATTGAAATGTGGGACTAATATGAGCAAACCACCAAAAGGTAAGATTATTTATATCAATTTTTCCAAAAAAAAAAGGTTCTTTTTATGATAAATTTTTTTGTGTAAATTTACCAATAAACCCTTACTTTCCTTGAATTAACTCTATAATCATATGTTATTAACCTAACTAATCAACCCTCAATAAAACCCTAATCCACATTCTCTCTCCTCCCTCACAACCACACATGTAATACCCCATATTTTTATACGTATTTTAATTCAAATCATTATTTTATGAAGCATTTAAATAATTTGAAATTAATTATTTGTGGTATTTTATTAATTTAAAAAGATTTATTTTAATTAAAGGTCTATTTTTATTTATTTAATTGCTTTGAAAATATTTTATTTTATTATTTAGAAACTTTGGGGCATATTATTTTATAAATGGAAATTTAAAGTCAATGGTATTTAAAGAAAGTCAAATGACTAGTTTGAATAGGAGAAGAGATCATTAAGGGTAGAAAGAGAGTTTAAGGATAAGAGGGTTTTGAGAAGGGGTATAAATACCCATCTTATGAGCAAGTTAGATCTTGCCCAAGGTGGAAAATACCCAAAGGTAAACTCTCTCCTCTTATTTTCTCTTCCTTAATTTTTCCCCTCCCCTTTATTTTTTTTTCACATGCACACACAAGGTGGCCAGCCGCCACCACCACCTCCTACCGGTTCATGGTCGCCAGCAGCCAGCAGCAGCAACAGCTGCCGGCGTGGAGGGCGGCAGCAGCCCCCTCCCCGTCGTGTGGCTGTGCGACTTCAACACAAAAAAAAATCTTTTTCTTTTAATCCTAATCTAGCCTTGATTTAATTATTATTTTTGGGTGTTGTGATGATTTTTATGATTATTATGTATATAGATTTCAGATTTGGTTTTTGAATATAAAAGCCCCAAATTGAAAACCCTAGGTTTCTAAATTAATGTATATTGATGGAAATTGATTGTAGTTGGATGGAATTATTGAAATAGGTGTTTTTAAATATAATTACAGCAATTTTACATATTTTTATAAAGCTGGAATTTTTATATAAAGGTTTGAAAGGATTTTTAATTACCCATTAATTGGAAATAAAATTAGGGGTTTAAATTAATTTTCAGCTTGTTTTAGAGGGTTTATAAGTGATTTAAAGAGCGATATATTGCAGGATATATAGAATAGGTATTAATGTCTCTTTGTAATTTTGGGTTGTAGGAGATTTCTAAGTGAGTGATTTTGTGTAGTTGTGAAGATTTTGGGATCATATTCGAGGTACGTTTGCATACTCGGTAATTACTTAAGTGTATAGAAGCATGCTAGGCTTTGTTTAATTAATTCCAAGGTAGTATCATGATAGGTATTGGTTGGAATTGTTGAATGTATTGATGTTGGTGATTAATTTGTGAAGTATGAATTATTCACTACTAGAAATAGGCCGTTTTCCGACGGAATCGTTCCGACGAACCTAAATTCTGTTGGAAAATTTGAACTTTCCGACGGAATTAGGGTATGTTAGAAAATTCCGTCGAAAAAGGTACGTTACGACGGAAAATCCGTCGGAATTCTTGCGACGGAAATTAATTCCCTCGGAACTATAAGCTTCCGACAAAATATTCCGTCGTAACGTACCTTTTCCGGCGGAATTAAAATCCGTCGAAAATTTCCGACGGAATATTCCCTCGAAAATCCCAAATATTGCGACGGATTAATATTCCGTCGGAATCTTAATAAAAAAAAATAAATGAGAAAACCCTTTAAAACCCAAACCCTAAAACAGCCCAAACCCCCCCCCCCCCTCATTTCCGCCACACTCCTTCCC